AGTATGCTCTAAAAAAATTTAAATTGTTCCTATTCACTGCATTACCGACACTTTCCCAGTGATTAAGGATTTTTTCTATTTAAGTAGAAATTTAGACGTACTCGCACAGAGGCCTTAGTACCAAACTCGTACTTTAAATACCAAAGAATTGAGGTGTGCCCATCACTGGTTAAAACGTAAGGGATTAATTTTGTCCACCTATATTGCCGATCTATCCCACTATGCGGCGGTTGCGTTGATTTGCAGCGACCGTTTTCGGCAAAGAAAAAAGTGCCTTCCACCAAGGCAATGCACCGTTGCACACATGCAATGGCAAAATCGCAGTAATTGGGTTACGAATACATTCTTCATCCAGTATATTTTTTCCTAAAGAGATTTGGGTACAATCACTGACGCAAACGCCTATTCGAGTAATTTGAAGGATTTCTATTGCTTGAAAGGGACATAAAATTGGAGCGCTGGATAAAATTTATCAAGCACAACATGTTGAGAAATGACAGGTTTTTTCCGAAATTCTTTGATTCAAAATTTCACTGATTTATGAAATTACCCATCTACATTGATACGCTTCTCACGACAGGTCCTGCTTATCGTTAAGACCTGATGACGCGAGTCTCTCGAACACGAAGGCTGTTTCTCTCGGTGAGCTGCACTTATGGTCAACAATTTATGAAGCAGTGAACTTCGTGACAAATGCCAATAATATTGCTTTCAGGGCCTCCTGCCCAAGCACCCTCCCGAAGGGAAAAAGAAACTCTAGTGTTGGAATTCTGCGATTTCAGCACTGAGGAAAAACAGCAATCAAGCCAAGTGAATAGGTCTTTGATAACCCTACAAGGATGCACTCAAATTTTCAATCAGGCCATAAAAAGGGCAAAACGCGAATCTTGTCAAACATTCTGCAACAACATATAAGAGGGCTCTGAAGCCAACAGGCTGAGCAAAGTTCTATTGAAACCTTCTTCAAGTATGAACTCTATCAAGAAGACTAACGGTGACTGGACTTTATCATGTAACGAAATGCTGGAGATCCTTATGAGCACTCACTTCCCGTGTTTCTCTGACGACACCTCCGGCACTTCGCCCGGCCCTGGGATCCACTCATCCCTAGGTGATATCTTAAGGAACGTCGTAAGTTATGAGAGGGTGAAATGGGCTATAATGCCCTTCCAGCCCCACAAATCGCCGGGACTTGACGAAATCTTTACCGCCCACCTACACGAAGCTAAGGACATACTGTGCCCTCTTCTCTCTCAGATTTTAACAGCCTGCCTAACCCTAACTCACATACCATACGGGTGGACAAAGGCGAAGGTCGTTTTCTTACCAAAAGGAGGCAGGCCCGCTCATGTGATTCCGAATGCCTATAAGCCTCATCCATTCTTTCTTAAAACTAGAGAGGCTCATTGGCAAATATAATCGACGGAATATAGAAAATGACAACTTCTCCTCGAACAAGCATGCATATTCCAAGGAAAAATTCGTGGAGGCAGAACTCCACGAAATCGAATCGACGATTAAAAAAGGATTGGCCATAATCGATATCGAGGTGTTGTCAACAACGTCTATCCGAAGTCTCTTGTTAAATCCCTCCTTATGGTGGGAGTGCAACGGGGCCTGGTGGATTTTGTTGGGCGCCTTCCAGAATAGAGAACTATTCTATCAGAACTGGGGACGGCTCTATTACAAAGCATGTGACCAGAGGCACTCCACAACGAGCTGCTAAATAACTAGACAAAAAGCACTTAGGTATTTAGGAGTGTGCTAAATACTTAAGTAAAAAATACTAAGGTATTTAGGAGCTGTTGGATATTAAAGAAAAAAAAACAACTTGGGTATTTACGAGCTGCAAGATAGTAAAGTACAAACAATTAAGGTATTTAGCAGGCGCTGAATACTCTGGTCCAAATTACTCAGGTACTTTGGAGATGCAAAATACTTTCACTAAAGTACCAAGGTATTTAGTCTCGATGGCTAAATACTTTCAAACTAAATACTTTGACTTAAAAAATTAACACCTCACCTTACAATCACCTCAACCAACCTTACCACAACTCACTTCAGCTCACCACATCTCACTTAAACTCCTAAATTCACGAAACCTTAAACACAGCTGAACTCATCACAACCAAGGCTGCCAACTTGGCTCAAACCGTGTCAATTTTAGCTCTATTTTACTTCAAATGGCACTAAATTTTTTAATTTGGCACAACCTGCCAAAATGGCATTTTTGAAAAATAATAATATTTCAATACATTGTTGTGAAATTCTTTGCGTGTGCTTCTTTTTCTGAACAACAATTTCCTAATATCTATAGTGTATACAATTAATTTATCTTACTTTGGCATTGGACCTTTGTTTTAGGAATGTGTTTCCAATTTTAAGGCTAAATAGGAAGAATTACAAAGAAATGCACCTTATTTGGCACTTCATACCTAAGTATAATTGGCAGCCCTGATCACAACCGTTTCATCGCACTTCACCTAAACTCACCCCACCTCAATTTGGGAACTATTTCGGGACTTAAGATGTTCTCGGGACTTTATCAGGATTTTAGGGATTCTCGGGACCATTTCGGGATACCCGAGACCACTTCTAGATTCCCGGGACTATTTCGTCATTTTAGGACCTATTTCGGAATTTTTGTTATATTTATCGATTTTGATATCGATAAATGTATTGATATTTCAATGGATATGTACATATATCGGTATTTTTTTATCGATATATTTATCAATATTTGTATAGATATTTGCATCGATATATTTATCGATCTTTTAATCGATATCTTTATCGATACTTTTATTGTTATATCTACCGATATATTTTTCAATACGATTATCGATATCGTGACTAATATCGGGATTTTCGAGACTACTTCGGAGTTTTTGGCATTCTTGCGACTAATATGTACATCGGGATTTTTGGGACTTTCGGGATTTTCGAAACGACTTCGGAATTTTCGAGACTTTTGGCATTCCCGGGACTATTTCGGGATTTTCGAGATTTCGTCGGAGTTTTCGGAAATATTTCAGGATTTCGAAATTCTAGGGACTATTTCGGAACTATTTCAAGGTTATTTCTAGATTTCTAGAATTTTTGGGGTTCTCGGGACAGTTTCCAGATTTTCGTGGCTGCTTAGACATTTCTAAGAATTTCGGGTTTTTAGAGACTTGAGGAAGTTCGGGTATTTAAAAGGTATTTGTTTTTAGAGGTTTGTAGCCAATGTTCGAGCTTTCAAATAACCCAAAAAGTACCTATTTCAAAAATTGGAGGGTAATGTAAAATACATATATGGTTCGGATAATGTGATATACTTTCGGTGACCATTCGTACCGATTTTTACGGGACAGTACCGATTTTGAGAAAATTGTCCCGGTGAATATTTTTTAAAAGTCGGGACGTATAAGTGTCCCGATTTTACATATTTGTACCGAATAAATCCCCATTTTCGGGGTTTTCTTTATTTAATTTAATATGAGTCTCCTTGAACTCTGGCCGAAAAGCCATTTTTCTGACGAACAAAGGAGCACTTTTGTTAACACAAACAACATAGAATATAAGGGAACTATGAACATAGCCAGCATCCTTATTTTCTAAGACCTTTGGTTATGTTTTGTTCTGTCAAACTAGTACTCTCGCTATATTACAGTCTATGATTCTGCAAAATTTTTTTTTAGGTTTTTATAATATATTATTTGTTAAGTTTGTTGACTTCTTTAATCAACCTATACAAACTTGAATTTAGTGAAATAAAAAAAAAAATATGAAAAATATAAGCTGTGTATACATTTTTGCGATCGTGTTTTCAAGTTTTTTCTCATTGTTTTGTTCAAAATAAAACTGCCATAAAAGATGTTATGTCTTTTTTTCTAAAAACATCGATGCTTTAGAAATGTCCCGAATATTTTCCACAGAAATCTAGTCACCGTAGGCATACAGCGGCCAACTGATAGCGTTTATGTATGCCTATTGTCCGTGCCGCCCAAAGAGTCGCAATGGCCGAGTGGTCAAAGCATTAGGCTGGCGGTCGAGAGGGTCCGGGTTTGAGGCCTCCTCGGGCGTAGGTTTTTCTATTATTTTCGACTTTTCCGTTATTCCGTTCGACTTTTTTGTTGTTCCATTCCATGCGCTCAATGTGCTTTGATATTTTGAGCCGAATGAACGCAAATTTTCAACATATCGTTAATATAGTATGGAAATCGCGTATTTCACATTGTCGCTGAAATGTAAAAAAGTAACAACTAACAAATATTTTTATTGCATAAAACGATGTGGGGACTTATGATTCGATGAAATTCATCATAATCAATCAAAAATTGAATTTTGGATTTTTTGTTAGTTGCGGCTTTTTGTATTTCAGCGACGATGTGAGTTACGCCCTTTCCATACTATACTAACGATATATTGCATGCCAAGTCCCACTCCTCAATAGATATTAAATTCGCCTTGAATTAATTCTTATTTGGTTTGTGAACTTGGCTGTTAAGTTGTTGTTGTTGTTTTCGAGCGGAAAGACTAATAAAAGGAAACACGGAATTTAATTATAATAAGTTTTATGAGAAAACAAATAATTACACTTATCTAAGAAATAGTAGAAAAAACCAACTGTTTTTTTTCAACAGACCTTTGACAAATAATATTCGTTTACGCGCAAATAGCCGGTTCCCTTTATAGCCAGAGGTTGATAATTTTCTCTGGAAATACCTATTGAAGGATCTTACTCTTTGACTATAAATTACAAAAGAAGGGGGCGTAGGGGGACAGTTTTAACGTAGCATCTCCACAGACAAAAAATTTTGGCTACAATTTGTCATTTTGTTTGCCAAATATACGTTTTATCAGTGCACTTGCACAATATTGCATTCGCAAAAGCGAAAGCGATTGCGAATATTCGCAACAACCCTGGTACACATAAAGTGCTTCGTACATCGGCACTGAGACATTATGCAGAATCTACTTAAAGGATACTTTATCATATTTCTTTTTTTGCATTTTAGATTTTACGCTCCCACGTTATGGTTCGTGTCGGCGGAGGTTGGGATACTCTCGCACATTACCTGGACAAGCATGATCCCTGTCGATGTAAAGTACAGCATCGTGCATCTATAGCTGCTCGTTTAGTACCACGCACCACCAATCAAAGCAACGGCGGTATAGAACTGCACAAAGCGCAAGTAATCTACGAACGGTGAGTTAAACAATAAAAACTTTAAGGGCCATTTTCTAATGTAAGCAGCAAGTCCGTATTCAGGGGGGTGGGGGCGCTTGTAGGTGTTCTGACAGACTCCGTTTTCGTTACATATGTATGCACATACCACTTACACTACATAGATTCTACTATTTAATTTGATCGCTAGCAATCGGAATTCAACAATTAACAAAGGTAAAAAGTATGGAGGTAGACACCGCCCACTCTACATTAGAAAATGTATTCAATCCACCGATATATTCACCAATGGATTACATAAGTCGTATGCGACAGGCGAGGCCATCACATCCTTACATTGTTAATAATTTAGAGTATACATATGAAATTATTTCTTGTATATACGAGCATTCATTGGATATCACCTATCGAAACTTTGAAAAAGTGCATTGGGTCAAGTTAATACGCTGACCGAGAAATCAGTTCGCAGCTCTGGTAGTTTCATGGTTTGTACAAAGTATGTGTCCACTCATCACTTTGCATTAATTTTTATCGCAAAAATCCAATAAAAACGTTTCTGACCATTTTTCATTACATAACAGGCAGTTAAATAATGGAGTCCTCAACTTCTATACATTGCATCTAGGCCTAACGGCAGTATTATGTACAAATTGCATACGACTCCATACCGCCAAACAAAAGCAAATTTAAATCGTGTATAAAAACAGATATGTGCTTTAAAGCGGCGCAAATGTTGATCACGTCGCAATTGGTCAAAAAAATTGATTTTTATTTCCTAAATCAATGGCATATTTTTATTTTTATTTTTTTTTAATACCACACTTGCATAATATTGCCTATTGGCACTAGGAATCAGTTTTTTGCTCTCCTGAAAAGTTATTAAAAAACACATAACTGTTTTTGTTGGCGCAGCGACGATATATTTTTCAATTTTGTTATGTACTTCCTTTATGTACAATGTGCATGTCTAATTAAAGATATTAAAAAATACATATAGTGGTAAAAAAATTATAGCCGAACCACTTGTTGCCAAGTTTTAACGTATTATTTTCGTTGTTATTTAGTTTTGGTTATTTTTTTTATAATAATATAGTTCATTCTTTAACAAAACCCGTATAAATCCAAGGTTCCAAATTTGTGCAACATTAAAAAAAATTCAAGAAACTTTCGTACAAATTTCGAGCTTTTTTTTTAATTCTAAAAAATTAATCGTAGTTTTTAGCCATTTGAAACTTGTACTTTATTCTACTAGAATTCAATGGGCTAAAAAACTGCATACTCAGAATCTAATTAAAAAACTTGAAATTTTTACGAAAATTTGTTGAATTTGTTTTTTAATTGCATACATTTTTAAGGCAGTGGCACTCGATTTGTACATTTGTACAGATTAGTACATTTTTATATTGGGCTATTGGTACAAAATAAAAAAAATGGGGAAATTTTTTTTTGTAGCCAAAAGATTGGTACAATACAGCGATGTTCTATTGAAAAATTACAACAAATTAATTTTCGTGATTGGGATAAAGAAAAATATTTGGGAATTCACACAATTGGGATACGATATGCACCAAATTTTGGCAAACACCCAATCGTGTGACACTTAAACTTGTATTTATACGGATGTTGTTAAAGAATGAACTATTTATACAAAAATAACCAGAATTATATAACAACAAAAATAATATTTTAAAACTACTACTACTACTGTAGACTGCATCACCAAAAAAAGGTGCGGTTTTTCTGGCGGGATTACCAAACCTAGTATATTTTGGGACTTCTACCAAAATATTTCGGAAAAATATTAAGATTTACTTGAGCTGGACCGGTTTGAAAATACCTCTTAAAATTGAGTTTTTTTATGAATAAAAATAGTTTCTTAAAGGATTTTTTGGAAAAAATCCCCTCAGATGACAAAACAGTTTAAGCTTAAAAAATCTGCATAAAAATATTAAAAAATTGGATCAACGGAATCATAATAATGAGATTTTTGATGATGTTTTTTAACTTTTACTGATATAGACTTAGGAGGTGTCAGTGTGAAGGTATTTGCTCACCCTTTTTATTTCTTTGCAAAAAAAAAACTCATTCACGTCCCAAATTTTTCTTTATCAAATACCAACACATCTTAATTCAACATGGAATGACACGCGTTTATCTTACCTTCCTCTTTCATACTTTGAATGAGCTCATTCGCAAAGAGATTACAAGGGTGAAAAAATACCTTACCAATGATACCTCATATATCTAAATTGGTAAGGTTTTGGCTTAGTTATTCAAGTTTTTCTTAAACCAGTCTTTGAAAAAAGTTCAAAAACAGCATAAAAAATCTCATTATTATGATTCCGTAGAACATTTTTTTTACCGATTTTTTTTTGTATGAGGAGTGATGCAGTCTACTGTACATTAACGTGGGCCGAAAATCCGCTTTTTAGAATTTCGATTGGTTATAGTAAAAATATGGCTCATTATGCTCTAAAGAAAATTTGTGTGAATGATGACAATTTTTGGACAATATAAGTCCATCAAAGTTCAAACGCTTTCTTTGCTTACTTCGATTCTCTACAAAAAAGGTCAATATATCAGTTTATGTAGGACTAATACTTCCTAAGATGCTTGCAATTTCAGTAAAAAAATTTATTAATTAAAAATGTATTTTTAAAATTTAAAAATATTTTGCCATAATAAAGGTTGGCAATGAAACATAAGCAAATATAGAGCAAGAGCAACTATTAGCAAAAACCAAAACCTTGGTGGAAATATCTAATATATCTGACTCATGAACCAAAACCAAACCAAAATTTAAAGTTGGGTACAAATTTTTAAACGTTGCACCGGGTGAGCAGCAATTAATCGATTCGAGAAATTAATGCGCTGATGAGAAAACGAAAACTCGTAAATCGCGACGTTAAAGTGGCCGGTAATCTAAAGGTTAGATGAGAAAACGGCCCTAAGTATGTGATCGGATATACTGTATATGTATGTATGTATATACCATATACCTGCAAAAATCCCGACTACTCCATGCACGCATGTAAAGAGTCATGGAGTACTCCAAAATTAACTGCAATGCATATAAAAAATTTGGTCCAATTACATCAGAGTAGCACAAAACTACTACAAGGGATTACTCTACGGAATACCCACCTCTTTACAACACAGCTCAGTAAACATCGTGTATGGATTACGATCGTTAAAGCACAAGCAATGATCGGATAACAATAAGCTGGTGTAGAGCAGTGATACGCAAAGAGTGCCTATTTTGGTATTCCCCGCCACTAAGCATATTTTGGATACAAGTACATCTAAATCGGTGGAGTGCAATAAGGCCCGCGGAATAACGCCCACGGGCTTTATTTCCTAACAAAAAAAAAGAAATAAAGCCCGCGGGCGTTATTGCCTTTTCGAAAAAGAAATTAAGCCTGCGGGCTTCATTGACTTTTGCCGGTGGGCATTATTTCCCTTTCGATATGGCAATAACGCCGGCGGGCTTCATTTCCTAAAAAATTAAATAAAGCCCGCGGGCGTTTGTGGCTCTTGTCTCCATTTTAGAATATGCGCATCCAAAATCCCCTGTTCTAAATAAAAACTAACTAATATGATAACATTGAACTAAATATTTGTTATCCTTTATTATACTAAGAAATCGGAATTAACAAATTTCAATGCATATATTTAATACATATGTATGTATGTATGTACATTAGACTGCATCACCAAAAAAAACTGCGGTTTTTCCACCAGGATTACAAAATTTAATATATTTTAAGACGTCCACCAAAATATTTCGGAAAAATATTAAGATTTAAGCGAGCTGGACCGATTTGAAAATACCTCCAAAAATTAAGTTTTTTGTGAATAAAAATAGTTTCTTAAAGAACTTTTTGAAAAAAGTCCCCTCAGAGGACAAATTAGATTAAGCTTAAAAAATCTGCATAAAAATATTTGAAAATCTTTTCAACGGAATCGTAAGAATGAGATTTTTGATGCTGTTTTTTTTTACTTTTTTCAAAGATTGGTTTACGAAAAACTTGAATAACTGGGCCAAAAATGTTCTGATTTAGACTTATGGGATCTCAGTAGAAAGGTATTTTCACACTGTTTTTATTACTGGCCAAAAAAAATGTCATTCGTGTCCCATCTTGTTTTTTCGAATACCAACACATCTTAGTTCAACTTTGAATGACGTTCGTTCATCCTACCTTTCTCTTCCATCCTTTGAATGAGTTTATTAGCAAAGAAATAAAAAGGGTGAGAAAATACCTTTCCAATGACACCTCTTAGGTTTAAATCGGAAGAGTTTGGGTTCAGTTATTCAAGTTTTTCCTATACCAATCTTTGAAAAAAGTTAAAAAACAGCATCAAAAATCTCATCATTACGATTCCGTTCAAAATTTTTTTTTTAATTTTTTTAAATATTTTTATGCAAATATTTTAAGCTTAAACCGTTTTGTCATTTGAGGGGATTTTTTCAAAAAAAAATCTTTAAGAAACTATTTTTATTCATAAAAAACTCCATTTTTGGAGGTATTTTCAAATCGGTCCAGCTCACTTAAATCTTAATATTTTTCCGAAATATTTTGGTGGACGTCTTAAAATATAATAGATTTTATAGTTCCAATGGAAAAAAAGTACCGATTTTTTTTGTATGGGCAGTGATGCAGTCTAATGTACATGTGTATGAAAATTAAATAATTCAAAGCTTCAAACGGCTTTCAAAATATATATCAGTATAGATGGCAAATTAAAAATATTTTTTAATTAAATGTTTATGAATAGTTTTTTAAATAATTGCAGACATTTGAAATTAATTTCAGGTATTCTCCAAAAAAGTAGAAGCATTCAAACGTTAAAATCTTTTTTCTTTCATTTTTCAACATAAATAAATAAAAAACCAGAGCTTTTTTAAAAATTCGCATTAAATAATGTAAGTATGTAAAGAATAAATTCTCCGGGGCAATGGCGAGGCGGCGTGCCGCGGCCTTCCGCGTTTGCGCGCCCCCACTGAAAAACCTAAGACGCTG